CCCAAACAATGTATAAGATGTTCAGTTTGCTCACTCGCAAAGACATTCATAATTTTTTTTTATATTTTGACACTAAATCCTGAAATGTTAGTTTTTATGTGAAATTAAAACTTATTTGATGTGTTACTTAGATTCAGATCAAGCCACAGGCAACAGTCTCCCGTTTGTTAAGTCACAGACGTTTAGTTAAACATCTTTTTTAACTGTTTATTCAGTTCTACCACAGAGCATTTAGACACTTGCACGCTCAGCAGATTTTTTTAGATGAGTCAGGAATGTGGAGCTGAAGTGTCGACTGTTTGAAATGTTTTGGTCACAGACTTGAGTTTAAGGGCCCCCAGCAGTGCGTCTTTACCAACACAGCAGTTAGTTACCACCAAGTGGTCAWATGGGAATAGCACAAAAGAAAAAACACAGTGATCTTCAGTAACCGCATGTTCTCCTTTTTTTTAACCAGGCTGCTGCAGCTTTTCGAGACTTGTACAAGAAATATCCAGTTCTGTACAACAGCAGCATCGTTTGCTCCTTCGAACCAAAGGTCATCTACAGGGTGAGGGGCTCTGCTTGTATAAATGGATCTAAATAAAGTTAAAGGGGCGATATCATGTAAAAATCAACTTTTTTAAGCTTTATATCATGTTACAATGTCATTCCATCATCAAAAACATACCCAGAGTATTGCTTTGACTTATTCATGCATGTTTGTGAAATCCTGTAATGTTCTATGGTAGTGATTCAGGAGAACAAAAACGTCTCGTTGGCCCTAGAACTGCYTTTAAAGTGCAGCTCCTCCTCTGGGCTGTGTCTTCAAAACCTGAACTTCTGTATCACAGAGCACGCCTCCCCCGTGACTCCTGTAGGCTATCGGCAGCAACAGCTAGACAACAAATGGTGAAACTGCATGTGTCTGCTGAGCTCGCAATAGTTTTTCTTAGTCCAGTCCTTTCTGAATTAAAAAATGCCTTTGAGGAAATGTATTTTCAGATGCCAAGGACCTGAAAATGTCTGTCAAAAGCTTTTGACACTGGACCATGCTGTCTTAAAATACAGGCTTTTTTGTTTGGGAATGTCAGATCATGTGGTTTCCTGGTTTTCAAATGATTTCAGTAACAGGACTCAGTGTATTAATATGATGGTTTGTGTTCTGATTTTATGACCATACACAAGGGGGTGCCACAGGGTTCCATCTTGGGTCCCCTCCTGTTCATTATGTACATTAATGAATTAGGACAAAATGTGTCAGATGCTAATATGCATTTTTATGCCGATGACACAATTATTTACTGTTTTGGATTGACTGTTGCTAAAGCTGTAGAATGTCTGCAGAGAGCTTTTGATGTTGCCCAGCACGCATTCCTGCAGCTAAAGTTGGTACTCAATGCTGATAAGACTAAACTAATGTTATTTGCAAACACCAAGAAGGTGCCTCTGATGATCCCCACTGTGTCCACTTTTGAAGGAAATATTATAGAGATGATTCACACACAAAAATATCTTGGGTTCTTGTTTGATGACTCCCTCAGTTTTAAACCCCATATCCAAAATCTTGTGAAGAAACTTAAACTGGGCTTCTTTTTTTTTCAAAATAAAATTAATTTTTCTTTTACGGTTAAAAAGCAGCTTGTCACAGAAACATTTTTATCTATTTTAAATTATGGAGACTTGTTATATATGAATGCCTCAGCACAATAT